AGCAGAATGCTGCTGCTATTGTGTTGCCTAAACACATTGGCTTAGTTGTTAGTTTCAGTGGCTCTGACTTCCAAAGAAGTGAATTTGGGATCACCCACAAGCTATGCACAAGATGTTTATTTTAGTATGAATTTTGTTCATTAGTACTTTGTTTTCTTCATTGTTGTTAAGAATCTTTATTCTGGTCTTAATTCGTTCTAATTAGTTTCATTGGGAAATGCATTTCTATTTGCACCTTTTCTTGTTTCCCACCAAACTGAGGTAAAATTTCAGGCATTGTACCCTTCACTTATGGGATGGGATCCTTCATATCAAATTTCAGATAGATAAAATATCCCCATTTTGGAGTGGCAGAATAAGGGATAGGATGCACTGATACCAGTATACATTCAGCTCCTAACAGGGCACATTACAGTCTCTCCCCTGGGGCTGTTTCAGATCAAGAAAGTGGTTCAGGGGGGGAAGGTCTAAGCCTCTTCTTCTCACACACTATGTCCCCAATCAAAATCAGGTCCCCATGAGTTTGGGTAGCACAGAGCTCCAAGAACACATTGGTGATCCACTCGAGAGACACACCCAAGGGAAATGTAAGGTGTAGTTGGGCCCTCAGTTCCTCTTCCCTTCCTGATGCCGCACACCTCATGGAACAGATAGTATGAAGCAGAAGACAGACATGATTAACAACCTTCAATCATTATTACTGATTGTAGTTAAGACTCATGTTCAGATGAGTTATAATAACTATATTAACAAACTGGGTCTGTTCAAGTTAGGTTTTACTTAGTTATTATTTGAATGTACACGTAATAAACTTCACATAATTCTTTAAAACAAATTCTCTCTGTATAAAAATGTGTTTTGTTGAAGGAAGTGGTTGTTCCAATAATTTCTGTATTCAACACCGCAGGAAAACTGTTTTAGGTGCAATCCGACCAAAGAAATGCGTTTCTCATTACCTCTGATTTTCAAAGGCATAGTGGAGCACACATTCAAGTCTCTCCCTTGGAAATTATGTCTGGTTTGTACAATTTGTTTATTAAGCCACCACCATTATTTCTGTCAAAAATACCACAGAAATAATAGTGATCACCTACCCAGGATCGTTTTGAGGCAAATGAAGATCCTGAAGGAAATTGTGCGTTAAAACTGTTTATTTCCAAGAACAGCACCCCCCCCAAATGATTATATTAAATTGCACTCTGCAACCTGAGTTATGCGCCTGTTCATTGTGTCTGGAGTGTGACGTGTAGTCTTGTAGTTGTGTTGTTTTTTAAAAGGTTATAGATTAGTTTGCTAACGCAGTTTTGCATTTTCATGAGATGCTAATTGAGTTGCCTTTTTAGAAATAACAGAAAGGAAACTGGCAAATGGCTTCTTAGAATAAATATTTGATGTCTAGCTTTAATTGTCTTTAAAACGAGAACTTATAAAAGAGGCCCTCTTTTGTTACTTCGGTGTGGCTGCTTTTCCTCCTACTGTGCTACGTTTTAATGCAAAAATAAGATTATGCGTCTGTAAAAACAACAACAACCCAGTAATGACAAAGAAAACCTTTGCATTTATACTGCAGTTAGCCTTGCAGTTATGGAATCCCATGAAATGGGCAAGCACCCTAGGAACTGAATCTTTTCTGAAAAGACAAAATGTATTTTGATTTTCCTACACTCAAAATGAGCAGACTGCCAAGCAAGCTTTTGTGTCTGCGGTTTTTCAGGCTGAAATGGGTTCTGTGAGATAGCTTGATGCAGCAGAGAGAAATCTAATATTTCAATGCCATGTATGTGAAATATATGTATTGATGGTATTCTCTTTCTCTCCCCTCTCTCTTCTTTTTTGAAAAAAGACAGTATGTGATGGTTCCTGGTGAATACTAGAATTTATTGATTTTTTTTTTGCAAAGTATTCTAATTATAAAATTGTCAGGACTAAAAGCCAGTCTGACTGATGAAAGTTCCAATATTCATCCGTTAGGGTCAGTGCCTGCATGAATAATAACTTGTTAAGTCGTGTTTAAATTTATTGTGTGCAGTGAACGAGAGAGGGGGGGAAAGACTCGGAATATATGAAAGATGCCTGCTGGGAAAGAAACGAGAAAGGGGTGGGGGTGATGGGAGAAGAAGCCCTCCCCTGCCCCCAAGCCCCATGGCTTCACCCAGTCCATTCATTTTCAGTAGGGCTGGCTTGCATGGAACCCTGCGGGTCTGATAGACATTCAGGGAAGAAGCACAGAGAAAGGACGTGTGGTTGCTTTCCAATAAACCTGGGAGAGAAGACTTGGCGTCTCTGATAAAACTGCCAGCTTAACTTTCTTTTGTGGCCCAAACTGTGGTATCTGCTCTCCGAGTCCTTCGGAGCCATCAACGTGCCAGCTCTGACTGCTCTTATGTCAGAAAAAAAATCAAAAGTTTAATGTTCTTCTGACGCTTGAATTCACTGTGTTTGGGAGAGCTGTCCTGGGTCCTTTGAGTCAAGAGAGAAGCTTTTAATTTTTCTCCTCCTTTTTGCCCAGCTCTGCCAAATTTCTGCGATCCCGCTCTAGATTGCTCTTGCTTGATCTCTTTCGATGAATCCCACAGGGGGTGCCACAACTGGCTGTGTGCTTGTCAGAAGAGCCAGAAGATCATATTAAGGCAGCGGCTGCTTGGTCCTTGGGGCAGATTGGGAGACATACCCCAGAACATGCCCGCGCAGTGGCGGTAGCCAACGTCTTACCTGTGTTACTTTCACTGTATATGGCAAGTGAAAGTTCAGAAGATCTTCAAGTCAAGGTAAGCACATTTGCCAGGAGTCCTTTCGCCTCCCTTTTCGTAGCAACCTCTTGATCCAAACGTGGACATGTGCAGAAGCCAGGGATGCCTGAGCATTGCCCTAATCAGAAATCCTTAATTGCACCCGTTAGCTGTTCAGTTGGAGAGGAGAGCAGGACAGTAAGGAAGGCCGACTCCCTCCACCCCCTTTGCCCCAAACAGCTGTCCGGTGGCCCTTAACCCACGAAGGCCTTGCTAGGGGTCCCCGCTCTGGGTTGGGTAATTCCTGGAGATTTAGGCGTGGTGCCTGGGGAGGGCAGGGAGCTCAGTTGGTACATGATACCGGACAGTCCACCCTGCAAAGCTGCCATTTCTATCAGGGGAACTGATTACTGTCCTCTGGAGATCAGTTGTAATTCTGGGAGAACTCCAGAGCCAGTTGGGGGTAGTGTTAAGAGCAGCGGACTCTGATCTGGAGAACCAGGTTTGATTCCCCATTCCTCCACATGCAGCCAGCTGGGTGACCTTGGGCCAGTCACAGTTCTCTCAGAGCTCTCTCAGCTTCACCTACCTCACAGGGTGTCTGTTGTGGGGAGAGGAAGGGAAGGGGTTTGTAAGCCACTCCAAGACTCCAAGTGAAGGGCAGGGTATGAATCCAACTCTCCTCCCCCTCCCCCCTCCCAGGCCTGGCCAACACATTGGACCACGTGGACTCATGTGAGCAGCAGCTGTTCGTTTGTATAATTTCTTATCCAAGTAGGCATCGAGGTTTTCCTGTATACAGCTGGATGGAGGCAGCAGTGGCCAAAGCCATTAGCAGCAGTAAATTCTGAAACAGATTGTGTGGATTTGAATCTTTCCTGCACCAGCATAGTACCTGCACACTGAGGGATCCCTATAGGTCTCTTTTAAGCTCTGCTTCTTCCCTGCGCCTCTTCTGCAAAGGTGGCTCAGTAGGCTGTAGTGGCAAACTTCTGCATTTCTCCCATATCCCTCTCAGCCCTCCTCTCTGTCCTTCACTCAGTATATGTAGATCACAGAGAGGAAGGACAGAGAAACAGAGCTTTGTTTAACCCCATGGTGATACCTCAGCATGTGCTGGGTGGCCAGGCCTCCTGTTACGGTGAGGGGCCTCCCACCAGCACCCCTTGTTGCCTGCCACCACTCTGACAGATGGCGGGAGAAAAAATGCTAAACGGCACGTTACTGTTGCATGCACCACTACATCACTTTGGGGTGGTGGTGGGGAAGTGTGGTATGGTAGCTCTAGGAATCACTGGAAATCCAATGCTGAAACTCTATAGTTCTTCCCAGCAGTGGCATTGCAATGCGTATAATGCCATGCCCCCCATGTCCCTGTCCCCAAAGCTCCTACTGGTTGCCAGATGCGCACTAGCAACCCGAACAAGTGCACTGAGTTTGCATGGGGAGGGGGGGAATCTCCTTTATGATTGTATTTTTAAAATGTTATTGAAGTGGCTTCTATAACTGTTGTTCTGCACTTAAGAATGTTCGCTGTTTTTATATCACTTATTTATATGTGGAACAAAGTTTGAGTCCAGTGGCATACCCAGAATAAAACTTTGTTGGTCTTAAAGGTATAAACATTCATAAGCGTGCACACTTCTTCAATGTATCTGAAGAGGTGTGTATTCACACAAAAGCTTATACTCAGAATAAAACTTTGTTGGTCTTAAAGGTGCCACTGGACTCCAGTTTTTGTTCTGCTGCTTCAGACCACTACAGCTACTCGCCTGAACTTATTTATATGTCGTTTTAATATTTTGTTATACATGAGGTCCTTAAGTCTCAAGGTGGCATACAAATTCAAGCTTTAAAACCAAATACATTTTGTAAAAGTGTTGTTGCCTACCCTAAACTTTTGGGACAGGGCAGGCTAAACATATCTAAAAGATATTTAGTTGGGGATTGGCTGCAAGTTTAATACTGACATTAGGGTTATTCATCGTAGGCTGCAGTCACACAGATGAAATAATACACTTTCAATCCACTTTCAAACTGGATTTTCACTGTGTGAACTGGCAAAATCCAGTTGGAAAGTGGATTGAAAGTGGATTGAAAGTGGATTGAAAGTGGATTGAAAGTGGAGTATTTAGTGTGTGTGATCGCAGCCATAGAGGATGGAGGAAGTGTGAGCCGCTTGTTCAGCTGCACTAGAAATACAGAATCAGTCAGGAAACGTCAGTTGAATGCAATTAATATGATCCGCATAACAGCTTCACAAAACTGACAAATCCTAAACCACGGTTGTTGGACGGGCTGTACTGGTGAACGCAGCAATCCTCTCATGTTGAGCTCTTGTGGCCCCGCAGGCCGTGCTTCCACTGACTTGTCTGGATGCCGTTCCCATTGAAACCTTTCACACATTACTGCAACCATATGCATGCAAAACCCTTTGGCTGCTGCTTCCCTGTGGCTTCACCCCGTGGCATCCTGGTATGGGCTAGCTAGCTGGAAGAATGGTGACCGTGGGCCTCCTACCCATGTGAACATTGCTCAGCCTACAAGGAAGGTGATATGAATGCAGGAAGGAGCCATGTTCTTTTGCTCACCCATGCAATTCCTCCATCTAAACACTGGCCTGGTGCAACTGATCAGGTGGTAGAGTCCTGAGGCGGTAGAGTAGGCTGTACCACTTCGGATTGCAGGCATGGCATAACATTTTTAATGTTCCCCTGTGTTCAAAGAAACCCCTGCAGTAAGAAAACTAGCATAGCAGGGGAAAACATTCAGCTTGCTCCCTGCTGTGCCAATTGCCTACTCACATGGGAGCATTCAAGTGTATCACATCTCCCCACAATGTGAAACAGTGTAATTCATTCTACTATATCAGAATTATGTTGCCTCCTCCTGTTGCACGGATAAAGGAGGCCATTCCAAGAGGGGCACGGAAGATGTCCTGTGGAAGTAGCTCCCTCCCGGTGTTGCAGTAAATATCGACTGAGCCACACTGACAAAGGGACCCAAGGCAGCTTATAACAGTGTGTGTGTGTGTCAAACAGAAGATCCAATAATAATACTTTAGAAAAAAGTACAGTTTTAAAGAAATCAAACAATCACAGGGTGAGTCTGGATCCCATAAACCAGCTCAAGGGCGCCTCTGGCTATACCCAAGCTTTATATACTAGGAGGCAGGAAAGGCAAACAAAAGCACCCCTCAGACGGTTACAGCTGTCTGGAGCAATGTTTCTCACAATCCGCCCTCCTCGCTCCAAACCCTTACCGTTTTTGCAGCACAGGATAGGATGACCTAGTATCATCTGTCATGGCAAGTTTGGGGGCCTCACTGGAGTTTGCTTCCTTCTGAGGACAGCAGTTGGGGCATGGAAGTGTAAATCAACTTACTGAGGAAACAATGGAAAGTAAGCAAGAGTCTGTTGCTTCTCCCATGAGAAACACATCGAGTCATACAAACACCAACTCTACTATTCTATTCTATTCTATTCTATTCTATTCTATTCTATTCTATTCTATTCTATTCTATTCTATTCTATTCTATTCTATTCTATTCTATCCATCACACATTTCTTCCATTCCCTTTGCTTCTGTAGGCTGGGGAGCACATATCTTTCCAGTGGTCGTCCCTCCAAGAGGCCTCAGTTTATGCTTCTCTGCAACCAAGAGTCATAATTCAAGTCAAGCATAAGAGACCCACATGGGGAAAATCTCATTTGACAACAAGGGCTGCCTGCAGGACTGCGGACAGGATCATCTGAGCCTGTTACATAGCTGGGGTGGGCCCAGTGCCTACCAGGGCAATGGCTGTGCAGAGAGGCATTTAGCTGACTGCACTGACTGGGCCAAAAGGACATTGCAGAGCTGGAAAAAGTACAGAGGAGGGCAGAGATTATTAGGGGGGTGGAGCACCTACCCTATGAGGAAAGGCTGAAGAATCTGGGATTTTTCAGTTTAGAAAAGAGACGACTAAGGAAGGACATGATAGAGATTTATAAAATTATGCATGGGGTGGAGAGAGTTGAGAAAGAGAAATTCTTCTCCCTCTCCCGAAATACTAGAACTTGAGGGCATCCAGTGAAGCTGATGGGCAGTAGATTCAGGACAGACAAAAGGAAATACTTCTTTATACAGAGAGTGATTAAAATGTGGAATTCCCTACCAGAGGATGTAGTGATGGCCACAGGAATAGACAGCTTTCAAAGGGGCTGAGATAGATTCATGGAGGATAAGTCTATCAGTGGCTACTAGCCATGGTGACTGAGGGGAACCTCCACATTCAGAGGCACTAATCCTCTGAATGCCAGAGCCAGGAGGCAACAGCAGGAGAAGGCCTCGGCCTCTATGCCATGTTGTTGGTCCTCCAGAGGAACTGGTTGGACACTGTGTGAGACAGGATGCTGGACTAGATGGACCACTGGTCTGATCCAGCAGGGCTCTTTTTATGTTCTTATGACCCAAGGCCCCAAGTATCACAGCATCTACCGTTGGGGTCCCAAATCTTTTTGAGCCTATGGGTACCTTTGGAATTCTGACACAGGGTGGTGGGCACGATCTTTGAAGGCAGAGTCAAACAGAAGATGTCAGGGAGCGAGGTTTTATGTATAACTCTAACAGTACCTCTTCAGTATTTCAGGCAGAAAGCTCTCTTTAACAGGATGCCTTTTGACATGCACAGCCAATCAGAAGCCCCGCTGGGCAAAAGGCCCCACCTACCCCGCCCACTTTCCAAAAGCATTGGCAGGCACCAGGAAAGATGTCAGCGGGCACCATGGCACCCCCCAGGCCCCACACACTGGGGACCCCAAATCTACCACAACATAGTAGGGATAACTAGGCAAAGCCAAGGTGCCTGTGGATGCTTGAGAATTTAGGGGGGTTTTGCCCTGGAATCCAGGCAAAATTAAGATTTGCCACCCTAATCCATAACCATAATCCACTGGAGAAGTTTGCCTGAAGCAAATTTGCCACCTGATCCTTTAGTGCCATGTAGTGAAATAGCCAAGATGTGGTGCTCAGTCATGGATACATGGCAAATCACGGTCCTCTTTTAGTACTGGAAGCTGGCCCTCATTACCTGGCTGCCATCAGCCATCGGCCCTGTTGTATTAGCCCTGGGGAAACATTGTGTGTTGCCAAAGAACACACACACATACAGCGGGCTTTTTCTAATCCAGGCAAAATTAAGATTTGCCACCCTAATCCATAACCATAATCCACTGGAGAAGTTTGCCTGAAGCAAATTTGCCACCTGATCCTTTAGTGCCATGTAGTGAAATAGCCAAGATGTGGTGCTCAGTCATGGCAAATCACGGTCCTCTTGTAGTACTGGATGCTGGCCCTCGTTACCTGGCTGCCTTCAGCCATTGGCCCTGTTGTATTAGCCCCGGGGAAACATTGTGTGTTGCAAAAGAACACACACACACACAGCGGGCTTTTTCCTGTGGAAAGGAAGAGATGGAAAGGGTGAATCCATTCTTCCTGCACTGGTGCCAATTTGCACTGGCAAGTTTAGGGCAGCAAGGCTGAAGGAACGTCAGAGGGATTGTTAACTGGAACAGAAAGATTCTGCTTCAGTCACCTTATGTTGGGCAAACTGCTGCTTTGGGAGTTGTGGCACACACAGTCTTACAGCAAAATTTATATGGACACCTAAAGCTGCCTTAACGTGGAGTCAGACCCTTCACCTATTTTGCCTCGTTGTGGTTATTCTGATTGGCAGCACCTCTCCAGGATTCCAGCCTTGTTTCCTGAGGTCCTTTTTGCTAGAAATGTTGGGGTCCTTCAGTTTACAAAGTGTAGGCTTCTACCACTGTGGTATAGTCCCTTTCCAAGCAGGTAAGGCCATGGATAGGACTGACTGCCTTGATTGGGACCTAGAAGGGTGGAACTCTCCTTAGGATGGCACTAGATTCAGGTGGGTAGCGGGTCTGGTCTGAAGCAAGAGAACAACGTTTCGAGTCCAGTGGCATCTTTAAGACTGACAAGGTTTCATTCTGGATATAAGCTTCCATGTGCATGCACACTTCTTCAGATACATGTGCTGTATTTTGGTTTAATTGAGTGGTAAATATTAGTTAACTGCACGAAGGACAAACTCCCAGCTGTGGCTAGCTCAGTTGCATCTGCCCCTTAAATTCCTTGAAAGGGAACCTGGATGCAAGCTGTTAATCTTTGTAGCACTTTAATCCACTTGCAACACAAGTACAGAGGGATAGAATATCATGTCATTACCTAATTGAAATCGGTAGAGGTCACGCAGGAGGGACAGGTATCCCTGCAGGATATAGAAGCTCCACTTGAGACTGATGCTTTGCAGAAAAACCTGTGCATATTTTCAGAATGCTTTACAGCTATGAGGACTAGAAACCTGGCCGGGGGGGGGGGGGGATAATGTGGAATCTTTAAGAATACAAATGTTGTGCAACGTACCAGAGTCCAGTTTAGCAGACTGCCTGAGTTGAATGGCAGAAAACACAACTCTGTCTGTCAAGTCATATCTGTACCCGTTAATGTTCACTATACTGCCATCAAATACTGCGGGTAGGTTGAGAAGTCTCTCCTAGCCCCATATCCTGTCCTTATTAGAGTTCCATTGCCAGATGTTCCTAGTGGCAAAAGTTGTACTGAGTAGAAGCACTAATTTTATTGCGGTTTCTTTTATGTAATGAACGATCATCTGAACAAACATCATTTCAGCTGTTGTCTGGCCTGCTTCCTCCATTTTCACCGGGGCTTTAAAACTTAAAAGCCACAATCCAGCACAGAGTGATGCATGTTTCAATCCCATTGATTTTGACGAGACGTAATTGCATATTATTGTATACTGTGTTGAGGCTAGATTTGCTTTACTCTGCTAGTGCACATATCCACTTATTCACAATTTTACAGCCTTCCATCATAAAACTTAATGGACATATGTTTTGTTGCAGGCTTTTGTTGTTGTTGTTGTAATTCTGTACAGGCTACAGAAAACATATCCTATCCATTTAAAAAGAATGACATCGGCCACCAGTTTGTTTCTGGGCACGATTCCAAGTGCTGGTTCTTACTGTTCAAGCACAAAATGGCCTAGAGCCAGGGAATTTGAAGGACTGGCTCATGGTGGTGGAAAGTGCCATCGAGTCGCAGCTGACTTATAGCAACCCCACAGGGTGTTGGAAAGAGACATTCGGAGGTGGTCTGCCATTGCCTGCCTCTGCGTAGCAGCCCTGGTGTTCCTTGGTGGTCTCTCATCAAAATATGACCAAAGTCAGCCCTTGCTTAGATTCCAAGGACTAATACTCCTGTATAAACCTGCCCATCAGTTAAGATATTCTATAGAGGCCGTGCTCTGAGTGTCTTCCACCCCCAGCCAGTGAGGAGGGTGGCAACCAGAGACAAGGCCTTCTCCAGGGTGGCCTCTTCAGCGCTCCAGTTGCCTTTACTCAGCTGGTTACTGGGCCATCAAGCTGGCTAAACTTTAGGTGAACCCCTAGGGGTGTGCAGCAAATATATTTGATTTGGATATGTCGGAGCTGAAAAATATCGGTATTCCCAGTTTCCCGGGTTCCAAATACTGATTTGGTATTTGGATCTGTTGGGGGGGGGGGGTTCCTGATACTTTTTTGGCCCCATTGTTCTTTGTGGAGAATCTTTCCAGAGAGGTGTTTTTAAAGGTACTGGCACCACAATTGCATGGGAGCTGCTGGTGCCTGTCCATTAAGTAACCCCCAAATTTCAAATTAATTGAGCCACAGGGTCCAATTCTGTTGGCCCCTAAACAAGGTGCCATTTTTCAGTATCCTGAATAATCCCAGATATGTTTGGGCGACCTGAATATATCTGGAAAATAATGATAAGGTATTTTCCAGATATATTTTTGGCTTGAGAATATTTGAACAGCCCCCCCACCCCATGAACTACCATATGTTATATAGACTTTTTTGGACGGGGGGGTTCCATAATTTTCTGCTGTTAACATTTTTTATTCTGAGGTCCTGTTTTAATTTGCCGCCCCTTTTAATGGCAGCTGTCCTCCTCTGTGTGACTGGTGGGGTGGGCTTAAGGGGTGGTGCCGGGGTGGTGCCTGGAGGAGTGGTGCTTGCAGAAAGCCTTCACTGCCTGCGGATGTGTGCCCTGCCACACCCTCCTCCGTCCACCCCAAAGTGCCGCTAACCACCACTTTTAAGGCCTAAACCAACGTGAGGACAACGCCCCTTGTGCTTCCAAGCCCCACCCCCACAGAGCAGCTCTCCAGGTTCCCCACGGCCCCAATGGCCTGTCCTCTCCCTCAATGGGGGTGGCTGCCGCCCACCAGCCTCACCCCACAGATTCTGGCCCACAGGTGGATTTGTTGTGAAGCCTTTCTCTGCCCAGCCCCTCAGCCATCCTCACCCGCTGTTTTCAGGAGCTGAGGTGGGAGTTGCCCCAAGGGGGCGTAACAGCAGGGCTATTTTTTGGGCAGGAACGCACAGGAATGGAGTTCCGGCTGGCTTCCAAGTTGGCCACGCCCAGCAGGAACTCATTAGCATAATAGGCCACAGACCAACAGCAGGAACTCTTTAGGATTGGCTACATTAGGGGTGTGTGGCCTAACATGCAAAGGAGTTCCTGCTACAAAAAAAGCCCTGGGTTTTGACAACAAACAAGGTAAACAGAATAAGAAGCAAAAGGTGGGTGTGGCTGGATGAGCACACTTCTGGTACCATGGGGGTGCGGCCTAATATGCCAATGAGATGTGCTGTCAGGGGTGTGGCCTAATATGCTAATGAGTTTCTGTTGTTGGGTGTGGCCTTTTATGCCAATGAGTTCCTGCTGGGCTTTATCTACAAAAAAAGCCCCGCGTAACAGTCTGTTGCTGCTTAACCTTTTTATTCTGCTTTTTACTTGTTTTACTGATGGATGGTTTTAGTGATTATGTTGTGAGCCACCCCCATCAACCAGGAGGATGGATTCCTTTTAAAATAAACAAGTATAAATGCCAAGAATCTTCATTAAAGTATTCTGAAAACTTTCTGCAGTGGTTGAAATAACTCAGGCCTAGTTTTTGCAAGTCTGCTTGATGAATGCATGATGATGATTTTCAGCCTTTTTTTTTGCACAGACAAAGAAAGCATTAAAGAACATCCTCCAGAAATGCACTTATCTGCCGGCACTCGAGCCCTTGCTCCATGATGCTCCTCCCAACATTCTGAAGCACATAGTTGGGCAGTTCAGTAAAGTAAGTGGGCCTTTGTCCACCCCTCCTTCAGGGCTCCATGCTCAGAGCCCGTCTTCTGGGTAGGTTTCCAAGCATATGAAGCACATGACCAATATCAGGACAGTGGGCAGCTATCTCTGTATACATACTTGGAGTTCGTACTTGAGAGCCAGTTTGGTGCAGTGGTTAGGAGCATGGGCTCTAATCTGGGAGAACCAGGTTTGATTCCCCACTCCTCGACGTGCAGCTGCTGGTGTGACCTTGGGTCAGTCATAAGTTCTTTCAGAGCTGGTTTCTCAAGGGCAATTCTCGAGAGAGAACTCTCTCAGCACCGCCTACCTCAGAGGGTGTTGTGGGGAGGGGAAGGGAAAGGAGATTGTAAGCCACTTCCTTTGGGAAGTGAAGGGCAGGGAATTAATCCAATCTCCTCTCCTCCTCTCCTCTTCTCCATCTTTGGGTCTCTCACGTCAATCGCTATGAACCTAAGAAGGCAGCAGGTTCTGTTTTCTGGACTGGGCAAGGACAGTCAGCTGTGATTTTAGTTTTCTCCCACATACTGACCTGGCCAGTCCAGGTCTACCACCAAGCCACGGCCTCTCTCCTCAATATTTGCTTAAGAAACCCACTTTAACAACAGATGCTGTGCAGTACCATCCCAAGAACTGTTTCCTGGGAAAAAACCCTATTAAATAGACAATTCTGAGTAGGCCTGCTGAGAGCCACGGCCTCTCTCCTCAATATTTGCTTAAGAAACCCACTTTAACAACATATGCTGTGCAGTACCATCCCAAGAACAGTTTCCTGGGAGTAAACCCTATTGAATAGACAATTCTGAGTAGGCCTGCTGAGGGTTGCTCTGTTAAGCCTAATGTATGAAAAAGTCCTGAAGGACAGCTATAACTTTTCTTTCTCCACCTTCTCTGGGTATAATCCCCAGGAACTTGTCCTGCATAAGCCCTGTTGAAATCATGCCCCAATTTCATTTCAGCAAGGCTTGCAGAGGAGAACTTCTCACAGGATCATACCCTCTGTATATCTCTCTCCTTTTCTTTTTTGGATTTTTATACGTGGTGCATGTGCGTGTGTGTGCACATTTAAGTCATGGCGACCTCTGGTGATTGACCCCTACTGGGGGCCTGGAGGATATTCAGAGAAGTGGCTGAATAAAGCCTGCCCCTGCCTCCCGCCTCCGGTATTTCAAGGAGATCTCCCATCCAAGTACTTGACAGAGTCGACCTTGCTTAGGCTCCGAGATCTGACGAGATCAGGCTTGCCTGGGCAGGGAATGTCTCTCTCTCTCTCTCTTTTGATTTCTTATGCACTCATTGCAGCAGAAAAAGATTTTGATGAGAATGACTGAAGTGGTTATTTTAATTTTTATAGGTTCTGCCACACGATGCCAAAGCCCGGCGCCTTTTCGTGACAAGCGGGGGCCTTAAAAAGGTCCAGGAGATAAAAGCAGAGGCTGGCTCACTTCTTCAAGAGTACATCCACACTATTAACAATTGTTATCCTGAGGAGATAGTCAGGTGAGGCATGGAGAGAATGCTGGCGTGCTCTCTTCAAAGCCGTGCTTTATGGGATAATTTAAGTTCCTTGTGGGCTTTTCTTTTCAGTTTGACAACAATAGCGTCCGGTTAGGCACACAAAACAGTAGGTGGACTGCTATTGTTTCACGAGAATTCTGCTGTTTTGTGTGTGCTTAATTTACATAACACAAGAGAAGCCAATGTTGGATCAGGCCAAAGGCCCATCCAGTCCAATACTCTGTCACACAGTGGCCAAAAATACCAGTGCCATCAGGAGGTCCACCAGTGGGGCCAGGACACTAGACGTCCTCCCACTGTTGCCCTCCCCCCCCAAGCACCAAGAAGACAGAGCATCACTTGCCCCAATTATTTCTATGAGTTCATAGACAGACAGACAGAGACAGAAAAAGAAAGAAAGAAAGAAAGAAAGAAAGAAAGAAAGAAAGAAAGAAAGAAAGAAAGAAAGAAAAGATCTGCCAAGATTCCCATTTTAAAAAGTGTAACTAGATCCAGCCAGGGTTTTAGGGTTGGGTTCCTTGAAGATCAGCTCTCATCACCTCAGTTTTAAAAATAGTCTGAGGTGCAGCCTCGAGATTGCCTGGTTTTATAGTTGATCTCCAGACAACAGAGATCAGTTCCGCTGGAGAAAATGGCTGCTTGGGAGGGTGGACTCCCTGGCATCCTACCCTGATGAGGTTCCTCCTCTCCGCAAACCCTGCCAGGTTCCACCCCCCAATATTTCAGGTATTTCCTAACCCAGAGCTGGCGGCTCAAGTCTGTGATGAGCATGTATGGGGGGGGCAGGGAATCTGTTCAAAAGTGGGAAGAA